CTTGTAACTCTGTAATGCTTGAGTAATTTAAATCTGGTGATTCTAAGGAACAAGTAGAGTGCCAGTGCCACAAGGAGGCAGCTGCTTCATGAAATTTGCAAACTAGCTGGATTGCAAGGTCTTCCTATATTCTTCCTATATTCTCAATGTAAATCAGTTCTCCTCTCATTATGCTTTCAACACTTATAGAGGGGTATGGGGTTTGAACTATAAACAGTGCCGTTCAACAAACACACATGCTTCTTTGGTTCAGTTAATGGCAGGCATGCTTATTGTTTAATTTCTTACAACCCAGTACTTGCTTCTTGATGGGCCCTGTGAAACAACTGAAAAAGATGTTTGAACCAACAAGATTAATTGTGACAATTGTTATGCTGGTAAGCTACATCTTTTCTCTATTTGAAAATAATGAAACGTAATGCTGAGTTTCCCTGAGGGTATTCTGGCAGGGTCGGTATTTATATTAGAACTTCATAACATCACTGAGATGTCCTCCCCCCCAAATTGTGTTATGTATAACATACCTGTTTGTAGGAGGAATCAGAAAATGGTATGATACAAGCAGACAATTGAAGATTGTGTTCAATTTTATCAAACTAATTTTGTCAGCAGAATAGGTAATTCAGGTTAGGTTATGACTGTGTAGTGAGCTTACGTAATGCTTGGGTGGTATCTTTTGATTTTGAAATGAGAAAATGGAGGGGAATGGGTACATAGTGCTTCTAGAAAGATAGTAAATAAAACATTGAAAATGCCAAGAATGCACTAACTTGGGTAGATTTTCTACATTCCAGAGTTTTAGTGGGAGAATATTGCATAAATTATGTATTGCTTAAGTATATACTTATATGATTCTCCTTTTTTCCAGTTGTGTTTTATCTGTACCCTATGTGCTGTGTTCTGGGTAAGTAATATTGTCTTCATGTCAACCTTTCTGGGTGTATTGGCACATTTGGAATTTTGAAAGTGCACCACCCCCTCTGTTCTTCTTCACCCTCCCTTGGTTTATTCCCCTCCCAACAAAAAGTGTAGTACACACACACACTTTGTGTTTCCAAGGGGTTTGAGTAAAAGTTTGATCTAGTGGAGTTAAAACAAACCTCTTGAATTTGCATGGGTTCTCCAAAATCCTATCAAATTAAGCTTATATTGGTAGACTACACAATAAAAATTGCAAATCTGATATTTGCCAGCACCACGGAAACATTGATCCAATGCGGAAAAAACTTCCTAATTTTAATTGGATGACAACAAACTACCAATGAAAGACATAAAGCTTTTGTAGACACACAGGGAAAAAAGGAAATTTCTCAAGAGCACCATTACATCCAGGGGTGCCATACTTGTGACCTCTTACCAGATTTAATGTGTCATCAGCATAAATTAGTTTAATGTTGAAATCTGGGTCTGTAGGCTTTGCTGTGTCTAACTGAAGTTTGAAAGGTCCTTGGATTTAGGGCTTGTGTAACACACTCTAAATCAGGCATCGGCAAACTCAGCCCTCCATATGTTTTTGAGACTACAATTCCCATCATCCCTGACCACTAGTCCTGTTAGCTAAGGATGATGGGAGTTGTAGTCCCAAAACAGCTGGAGAGCCGAGTTTGGGGATGCCTGCTCTGACTCTCCAGACATGTCGGACTATGATTCCCATCACACCTAACCATTGTCCATGCTTGGTGGGGATAATGGGAGTTGGAGTCCAACAATATCCAGAAAACCATATGTCCCCCACTCCTGCTCTTAGTGTTTATACTACTGATGTAATCCTGGCCGTGTAGTGTTTACTTTAATTTTTTAATAAAAACATCTAGTTAACATAAAATTTTATATGGGGTAAGCCAGTCTAGTGAAAATATTTGCATATTTAATGCTGCACTCCTATATAAACTTGCTTAGGAATAAGTCCCATTGGCTTTGGCAAAAGTTACTTCCTAATAAATATGCATACTTTAGGCTATGCCCTCTAATGGAAGTGTATAGCAATGCATTTTGCTCGAGTGTTTTAATCTGGGTTAATTTGCCATTGGAGCTTCTTGAGACTCGTAAAATTTATTGATTTTAAAAACAGTGTCAACAAGCTCACCATATGTTCCTTATCTCTTTCTCTCTAGTGGGGCAAGAAAGGGCTAGCTCTGCTCTTCTGCATTCTGCAGTTCTTGGCAATGACCTGGTAAGTCATTATAAACATTTTTAGCACTACTGTCATATAAAACTCAGCATGTAAGTATGGTATGTTATCTTGCAAGCTGTGCAATGTGATATTGCTGTCTTGATCCGTAGCCTTTTAAAAAAGTATCTCCTCTGCTTCAGAACTTACTGCAGGTATATAAAAAAAGCAGAATTGATTTATCTTTTCTCTCTTCTTCCCTGCACCCTCTCCCACCTGTTGCTTGGATTTTAAGGTCCAAGTAGGGCTATAGGAATAAATATGTATGTGTGCATATTAGTAATTTTTAAAGTGTGTTCTTGTGAGCTTTGAGATTTCTGTGAAAGTTACCAGGAGCTCCCCAATGATATCAGGAGTAATGAAAGCAAAAGCAGGGAAGTCCATTTTTTTGTAGGCATATGCCGTTGGAGGTCATTCCAGTACTAGATGGGGGGAAATAGATTCCAAATTGTTTTTTCTGTAAGAGTTTTCTACATTTAAATTTATTAAACTGCATGTAGGGGCGAAGATAGTGTCCTATTTTATTACAGCCTTGTTTAGTACTAGCCTGGTAGCCATGGGCAACAAGGTATTTCATGCAGGTGAATGAGTGCATTAGTGCAAGGAGGACACTGTGTTCCATCCTACCTCCGTCAGACCCTAGCAAGCTAGTCACTTGTGCTTATTTTCAAGGCTGTTTTTGCTTCCTCTTGGACTACTTCGGTTCTGTGGCACTTGCATAAGGCCAGCTTGTGTACCATCTTGCAGGAGGCTGTGTAATTTGCTTGCAACAAAATCTGAAATGGAGAGTGGATTCAGGAATGCCTTGGCAGTACACCTAGTTCTTTCAAAAGCCCTCTTATTCTAAACTTACATATAATCTGAATAGGTAATCTAAAGGACATATTGCAACAGGTTGACATTGTAGAAGGCGGAGTAAAGCAGGAAGAGCGAGCTAATGTTAACTTTTTCCTCTTTCTCTTTCAGGTATAGTCTGTCATATATCCCTTATGCACGGTGAGTCAGCTTGCTCTTTTGCCCTGCAAAAATAAGAGCCTGTATAGTTATCTTGCAGCTTTTAAAAACTGTTCTTGTGAGAAACTATTCTTCAGATTTTTTTTCTATGTAATTGTATCTAGCACATCTTACATCACTAAATATTTTACAATTGCTATCAAAAAGCAAATTTCCTGTTACACTCAACTTAACCTTGTACTGTGCATCTTCTTACAAAGTTGAGCTTCTAATATTCCCTTCCTTAAAGGGCAGAGGATTGTTTTGAAAGCAACACACTAGATCTTGTGATGCCTAGTTGACAACCTGCCACCAAAGAACAGCTAATTGTGTACGCTCTGTCTTGATACATGCTTACTTCATTGAATTGTAGAGTTGGAAGGGACCCCCAGGGTCATCTAGTCCAACCCCCTGCAATGCAACATGGGGCTCAAACCCACAACCCTGAGATTAAGAGTCTCATGCTCTACCAACTGAGCCATGCTAGCACCTTTAAGTAAGTTCTGTTAAATTCAGTGGTGTTTATTCCTATGAAAGCATATTGCTCATCATGATATACTGCTCAAAATAAAACAGGGACAATTTCACCTGAGAATGTATTTATTGAAAGCATATTGAGTAAGAAGATTCCTTTCTCAGACCATCAGTAACACAGTAGCCTGGTTCACATAACATGGTAAGTCAAACTATAACTTGCTGGGACCATGTGAACTCCTGGAGAAATGCTCACAGGTGTTTTATCTCCTCCCTGGTCCTTTTTAGCTTTGCATTGAACTAAGCTAAAGTTTGGCTTAGCATGCTGTCCAAAACCAGATTTGTGGTTAAGGCATTTCTTTAATGACCACGAGATGCAGTCAAGGTTTGATTGTGTCATACAAACCAGGTTTGTATCTGATTTCCTGGAGTTCATTTGGTAACTACATGTTGTTATTACAATTGTTGTGAGTGTTACGATAATAAATGTGGTTGATAAAATTATCATGCAGTATAGGCATACAACACATGGTGAAATTATCTTTCTTTTCTTTTCTTTTAAAGGGATGCAGTGCTAAAATGTTTCACGTCCTGCCTAGGTTAAAGTGAACTGAGAAGAAATCTGCAATATTTTTGGAAGCCAACTACATTTCTCCCAAGTTTACTTGGATTGTTTCAGCGCCTGAAATGGTGAAATCCACCTTCCACAATAGATTAAATTGTGTTAGCAAAATAATCTTTTAAAAACACACAGCACTGGCACATCAGGAAACCTTTAAATATTTGTTCTTAAAATATTTGGTAATGTCGGAGTCTTAAAACTGTTGCATCAGGTTTGGCTAACATAGTTTAATCTCAAAACTAGATCAAAGTAGTCTTTGGATTTCAGGTAAAATGCATGTAAATACTTTTGTCTAAAATTTGCTATTTATCGTACCATTTGTGCATTATTGTTACATGCTTTTCCCAAAGAATTTTAAAATTATTGTAAAATGAAGTATTTGCCAAATTTATAGCTGATGGGGCTTTTTTGAAAAGTTAAAGTATGCGTTAGCCTGGAAAGACTGTAAATCTGTAAGGCTGTTTTTAAATGCTTGAACTTCTTGTTAAGCTTATATTTTAAATGCCAACTTTTTGTACTGTGATACTTAAAATACACTTGACTAAAAGTGCTCATGAGTAATATATTAAATCATTGACTACAAAATAAATATACTTTAAAAATATGCACTCTTGAATTGAAGATCTACCCGTTTTGTAGAATAATTTCACTTGGATATTACTGGGTTGGTTCACGTCCCATGCCAAACCATTATATAGTAGATCCTTGGGCTCCTGCATTCCCTTCACACATTCAGTTACATACTTCCTGTTTACTACTTCTTCTTCTTTGGTGATCACTCGTAGCTGGGTAAGATTGTCTTCCATTAACATGGTCTTAACAGTGAGTACACTGTAGTTTGCAGGGGACTGAATGTGTAACAGGTTATGGAAGTGGAGAACACAGTTGGTAGATGAAGGATATAGACAGATGCAGGGTATATAAACTGGTGCAAATGTGTATCGTGTGCTGCTGAAAGTCAGGAAACGTAAGTCTTATGTAGGATTTATTTGAATAAAATATTAAAGATGGATTGTGGTGTATCTTAGTAATGCTAAATAAAGTGACAATTTCCAGCATTAACATGCAACATTAAAAACTAAGAGCTAATAAAAGCTTTAGAATTCAAGAAAAACACCATCTTTGATGTTTAGACACCATGTAATTTTGGCATCGTGCAAATTGCCATGGGGAAGAAAGGGTTCTACACCCAATTTTGCTAGGTTGGCTATTTATACAAGCCTTGTATGGTGGGGTGAAAAGTTAAATAGCATTCATGTTTTTACTTGCTAAATTAAAAAACCTCTCCCAAGTAGAGGAGGGGATAGATAAAACTTATAGTTCAGTGTAAGGCGGCTTTAAAAATGGATGTCTTATAGATGTGTGGAATGATGAAGGGTGTGAGTACATAGTGTATGTTTTGTTCAGCTTCTTTGCATATCATGTTAGTGTATTGGGGGCCCTGTGTGGGTGTGCTACTGGTTTGCTAATTCCATGTATAAATTACAAGCCAAAGGTTATAAGCCAAGCTTTATGTTGACAAAGATGGGGAGTTAAGCTGTTGCTGCTTTCTCCCCAAAGTCTACTGAACCTTAAAACTGCAACTATGGAGACTTACTGTACCTGCAATCCCTTTTGGATCTGAATCTTCAAGCTGATCTTATGCCTATAGCATCCCACCTGCTCATTAGACACCTTTGTTATTTTTTCTTCCCCAACTGCGCTTTTGGGAGCAAGTACATTGGTGATAGGCTCCGTGCAGAACATCCGCGAACAAGAAGCTGCTCTTGTGTCAACTCAACCTTCTCCAACAGGACTATATAGCCTGGCAACATTCATCCTGCGCGCAATAGACCAGACGGGGCATAACGGGGAGAGACCATATATACGTGTGTGTGCGTTTTAAAAGAGCCAAACCCCAGGCGCGCTAAGCCGTGTTCTTGGAGGTGCAAGACGGGTCTCGGCTGCCTAATGCCGCCTCCCGGTCGGCGCTCGCGGGACTTTCTCTCTCCGCCTGATAGGGGGCGGCTGCCCGCCCGTCCGCCCGCAGCCACGGCGCCCGGCTCGCTGGCCGGCCTCCGCCGAAGCCCTCGCCTCTTCTCCCCCCGCCCGGCCCTCTCGGCTCCTCCTCTCGCCTCCAACCAGCCGCGACCGCCGCGTGTCTCATTCATCCGCAGTGCCAGAGAGCGACGTTCGCCGCGCGGCCGGGCTCGTTCGCGGAAGCTGCCTGGAAGCCCCGGCTGAGGGCGAGAGGCTGGCCGCCGCCGCCGCCGCCTCTGAGGCGAAGATGTCGAGCTGAACTACAACACACAGAAGGAGGAGGAGGAGGGAAGGGGCTCCCGCCGGCGGCCGCGCCATGTCCCTGCCTCCTATCGCGCCACCACCTGCTGCCGCCCCCCGACTCCAGCTCCGGAATGCGCAGCAGCCGAGCCCGGGCGCTCTCAAAAAGGCGCCCCCCCTCGCGCCAGCCAAGCCCCCTCGGAAAGGTCGCGGCGGCGGGGTCCCCGCGGAGCGCCCCGGCGGCGGCGGCGGCGCCTTCTCGAGCTCTTGGCCCAGCGCTTCTCTCCCGAGGCAGCTGCCGCGCAACAGAGGCGCCCCGCCCGCCAGGAACCCGCCCGCCCCGGCCGCGGGGGCGCCTCCGTCTCCGGCGTCGCGAGGCCGCTCGGTCGTGGGGCCGCCGGGCCCGGGCGCGCGCTCCTGCGAGAGCCTTTGCGCGGCGGCGCAAGCGGGTCGCGGGGAGGCCGCGCTGCGCTTCTCGCTCAGCCTGCCTCCCGAGGCGATCCGGGTGCTCCAGCGCCGGAGCCTAGAGAAGCAGCAGCAGCAACAGCAGCGGCGGCCACGCGGGAGGACGCCCCGCTCCGCCTCCCCGGACGCCGCGAAGCGCCCCCTGGCTGGGTGCTCGGCCGGCGGCGGGGACTTGCGCGCGCTGCTGCAGGTGTCGCTGCTCAACGAGCGCCACCGCTACGACGACGTGGAGTACGAGGAGGAGGCCGACGGCGAAGGGGCGGCCGGCGTCCCCGGAGCGCGCGCGGCCGACGAAGGGCTGGTGCGCAAGTGCACCGAGTGGCTCCGCGGCGTCGAGAGCGCCGCCGCCCGCGACCGCGCCGACAAGCTGGACACGCTGCCGCACTTGGGCACCCTGTGAGCGGACGGCCAGGGGCTCCCTCTCCCGGGCCCTCGGCCCAGAAGCAGGCAGACCCGAGCCCGCCGTTCTCTTCCTCAGGGTGGTGGCGTAGTTGGTTCTTCGTCGCCAAAGGTCGCCTTCCCGCATCACCTGTTGTTGACTGTGAACGGATTTCCTCCTCTATCGGCAGAAAGCTCTTCCACCGGCCTGGCCTGTGACTATGTGTGTGTTTTCTGAAAAATAACATAACACGTTGCGTTAGGCTGAGCTTCCAAGCTCAACCACGCCTCTGTCTGTTATAAGAATTGCTTTCATCTCGACCCTTTTTCAATGGATTACTGCAGCTCAGACGAACAATTCATCTCTGTGCACATAGTGCGTGGAAGGAAATGTGCTTAATCGCCCCCTACACCCTTTTGAGCATGAGAGGTGCCTCCCTCTTGGGCACCCTGCGCTGGGAATCTGTTCCACATTTGTTTGGGGCTGTTGTTGCTCAAAATCTTAATTGAAAAAGACAGTTTTTCTGATAATCTTATGGAAAACCAATCCTTTGTGTCATTTTTGGCTGGGATAATAGAGACAATAGCTTTAAAGTGATGGGGAACGAAGTTCAGCCTCTCTCTGTATAGATTTTACGGTGGCCAAATGTAAATGTTGAACTTTTTCATGATTGTGTTTAACTTATTATGGTAACATAGCAATGTGTTTTTATTTTTGTAGCCTGTGAAAAGAACTGAGTGCACAGAGACAGCTGAATATTTTTTGTCACATTTTATAAAAGCATAATTCGCAGCCTAAGGTCCAGGAGAAGGTAAGGAATCTTGTTAGTTTCTCCAATTTTTCTTCCCTGTTCCTGAGACTGCGAAATTTAGGGAAGAGCTTTTGTTTTACATGACTAAGTGCAGGTGACTCCAAAGAAAGAGGCTGTGTACAGTACAAAAACTTGGCACAAACTTCAGTACTAACAAACTTTTTTTAAAGTACATTGTAAATGAATAGCACAGTGATTTTGTAAATTTGTAATATTTCTATTTATTTGAATAAACAGTTAAAATTGGTGAGGAAGCATATTTTGCCTGTTTATTCTGCTCCTCCACAGTTATGGGGTGGGACAGGAAATAAAGGCTATACTGTTGAACAATCCTGTTTATTTTTAAGTGCTATTATTTCAATGGGTGAGATTTAAGCATATAAAGCTCTCTCAGTTGAAATGGATAGGGCTGCAAATTGCTTTGCTTTGAGTGAAATTTTTAAAAGAATTGCTGTTCTATAAAGTAAATCCAGCAGATTGGTAATCTCACACTGGAATGATAGCTAGGTCTTTGAGATCATTGTGCATAAAGGACACAGGGAGGCAAGATAAAAAGCAAAGGCTCTGCAGCAAAATTGAGTTTTCTGAGGAACTCTGAGAGCTGCATATTTAGCACTTCTGTATTTGTGTTGTGGACCTGTCTTTTAAGAGAACTGATAGAAACAAACACCTATTTTGACCCTAAAGGATAAACAAGCCTTCTTTTCTTGCTAATCGTTAACAAACTTTCATATGGAGCAAAACAATAGCACAGAGTTATAAACAAGATAGTAGTCAACACTAGTCCCAGGCAGAGTACATACACCCATTGAAGTTAATAGGCTTAGGTTTAGTAGGGAGGAATTCATATCTGCTAAGGCAATTGTTCCATCAGGGCAAGCATTTCCCCCTTCTCCCACCATGTACTTTTCTGGGGGTTCTCCCTATTTCCCCTTGCAAGGGGCTCATGGGGAGGAGAGCCCCCTTGTGCAAGCAGAAGTCCCTACATAGGGCTTCCATGGAAGGGACTTGTTAGTTGAATCTTTCCCTTAATGTCAGTGGATCTACTGTGAGTAGGGCTTTGTTGAAATTCAGGTTAAGTTTTACTCAAAGCAGACCCATTGAAATTAATGAACACCGATCCTATTGATTCTACTTGAGTTAGGTCCGTTCATTTCAATAGCTCTGCTCTTTGTTGAATTCTACCCAGAGTCCCTCAGCTGGAGTTGGTGCATAATGATTACCCAAATAAAGGCAGCAACCAGCGATCGGGGGGGGGGGCGGGGGGCGGGGGGGGCTGAACATGTTTTTTTTTCCCCTGACATGATTCAGCTTCTAACCTAAATACATCTTTGTGGCTTTAGTTTTGTGTGCTGCTTTTATGCTTATTTTAAAATACAAAGAACACATTCATTGGAAGGTTTTTAAATGCAACAGGCAATGAATTTCTCCAGAACATTGATGCCAGCCGCAAGTGAAATGCTTTAGACCAGGGGTCATTTCATACATTATCTGAACAGCATGGGAGCTGCTTGAATGTGGCAGAATCCCACGCTGCTCTCAGCACTTAGAACAGAAACAGCAACTGATGGGGATTCTCTCTGCTTCCCCTGCCAGCCTTGTCCAGCCCATAATGTTTTTCCTAACAGATGTTACCAGGGTAGTGTGGGCCTAAGGAGGCAGTAGCTGCCACGTGACTCAGGTGGCACATGGAACCACTGTCTTATGAATCACATCTATAGCTTGGAGAGAGAAAGAGAAAATGAGAATTATTTGGCAATGTCTCCCTGACTGGCAGTTTGGGATGGAATGGTGTGGAACACAATAATGCGGCTGCAATAAAGAAATATTTTAACTATGTTGCGCATTAAGATAGAACAAAAGAGTGCATTGCATGTTCCAAAAGATTTTTAGACTCCAAGCATTAAATATTAGCATAATTGTGAGCCTGTTGAACACAACATGATCAAAGCCTTTGGAAAGTTAAGTAGGGTTGCCATACGTCTGGAATTTCCCAGACATAGTCAGAATACTGCAGTCAGAAGCAGTGTCTGTGCAGAAATCGCTGAAATGTCCGGGAAAATCCAGACATATGGCAACCAATGTCAGAAGCCTAGATTTTTGTGAATTTCCTTAAAACTAGCCCCAAAACTTCTTTTTAAGAAAAAAAAGCTCAACAACTCTGGGCAAAGTTGTCGAATTTTCACTTTTTGAAATATGGCAACCCTAGAGTTATGCTCCTCCAAGTCTCATCAAAGGTAACTGCTTCAGTATGGGATTATCAACAGCCAGCCAGAATAAACAGAACTGTTCACATTTCCTAGCCCCATATATATGGAGCATTCGGCCCTCCAGATGTTGCTGAACTACAACTTCCAGCAAGCATGATCGATGGCCAAGGGTGATGGGAGTTGTAGTTTACCAACATCTGGAGAGCCAAAGTTTCCCCACATCTGCCCTATAATGAGGTTTGAAGTCTTAAGGAGAGGGAAGAGACATCAGAGCTGTGATTCTGAGAAATTCTAATACTGCTTTTTTTCTTCTACCTCATTTCATTCTTGCAGTGTGCTATGATGTATAGTAGGTGACCTGTGGCCTTCTAGATGTCATCGGACTCCAACTCCCATCATCCCTGGCCATTGGCCATGCTGAGTGGGGCTTCTTTTATTATTTCTTTTGTTTGGTCTGTGACTTCTAGGTCCCAGAGGGTTGTTGTTGTCTTTTTTGTCCTGCCCCACTTTCCCAGAGTTTACTGCTGAATTGGAAGACATGCCAATCCGCAGAAACCCCAATTGACGCTTGCTTCAATTTGGTAATAAACAGAGGGTTTTCCAGGGAAAGTGGCAGGACAAAAGAAAGACTTCACAGACCTGTGCCTAGAAATCATGGCCCAAATGGAAGCACAAATGAGCCCTGAATCTCCTGCCCCTTTCCTTCTTTTTAAACTTCTTAAACTTCTTTTTAAAAAATGGCTTTTCAGACAGCAGCTGCCTGTCAACTTTTATGTGCAAATTAGCATGTACAGTATTTGTGTCATGGGCCTATGTCCCGAGTCCTTTCAAGTACCCATCAACACCCCTGCTGCGTACATTTGCACATCTGGGCTGGCTTTTCTCTGGATGACTAGCATCCAATGGTGATTTGCATTTTTATATAACCTCTCACCATGTCCTTCAATAGTCAGAGTGTCAACAAGTGATGAGTGTTTGTATTAAGTATTGTTGATCCATGTATGTACTGTTAAAATTATTTATATATCAGCTTGTGGTTTTTATATATTTGAGCCATTAAAAATTGTATTTTGAGGCTTTGTGTGTTAAAATTATATCTTATGTAAATACTTTTTTTTCACTTAGGCAGAAATCCTGCACATACTTATTGGAGTTTAAGTCTAAGTAAGCAATCATAGGATCAGTGGTGGACTTTGGTAATGTTTGGTAATACAGTGCCCTGAGCGAGGCCAGAATTTGCCTGCCCCCACCCCATGGATCTTCTCAATTATAGATCTTCTTACTATTGCACCCCCTCAGCTCAGTGCCCTGTGTGGAGGAACTGCCTGCACCACTCCTAATCTGGCGCTGATAGGATAGAGGAGTCTTGTAATATTCAGAAAATGGAAACCCAGAAATCAATAGATCTAATGACCTTTGAGGGCAATAATCAATAGGGCTTGATTCTAATGCAGGTATGAGGAACCTGTGACACTCCAGAAGTTGTGGATTCCAACCACCAGGAGCCCAACCCAGCCCATCCCCAATGGCCAGGGATGATGGGAGTTGTAGTCCAACAATATGTGAAGCCCCCACATTCCACATCCTTGTTTTGGAGTATTCATCAGATGGTGTACCACAGCTGATTTAACATTATTTGACAAATCTTGTTCACTCTTCACATAATCATAGAAAAGGGGGTTAGAATATGGTAACAGAGTAGTATATATCTCCATGTTATTGTGAAGTCACTTCTAGGATAATTAATACAGAGTGAAGTATGAAGATAGACAAAATAAGAGGGATCAGTCCTTGTGGCCACCAAAATCATTTCCTCCTTCTATATGACAGGAGCACAGTTGAAATATTTTTGGAGTTAACTTTGTTAAGCCTGTGTGTGTGTTTTTGTTGTTGTTGTTTATTAGCCTCCTGGGGGCTGACAGAAAACTGATGGAGAAGTCATTTATGTGCTGGGCACAGAGAAGAGGGTTCCTCTGCTTTAGCAACCTGCTTGGTTGCGCAGTGGGAGACTAGAGAGCTAAATCCCTTCTCTGCCAGCCCACTTGCTGGCCTGCATGAAATTATTGGGTCATCTATGCTCCCAGGCTAGTGTTTAAATTATGATTGGAGAACCTATAATTTTTCAGATGCAGCTGGACTACAACTCCCATCATCCCTGACCACTGACCATGCTGACTGGGACTGTTAGGATTCAGAGTCCAGCAGCATCCAGGGAATCTAAGTAGCCTTACCTGCAAGCAAGTTGCATTAACATCAATGAGATTAATTCCAAATAAAGTTGTTTGACATTATGCGGAAGTGAATTGAACTATACCTACCTAATGTGTTTAGGGGGACAAGGCTTTTATTTGTCAACAAAAAGTTATTCAATCCTCATGAAAATATTGTGCAGTTAGCTTTAAGAACCAGGATCAAAAAGTTCTAAAATAATATTACGTAGGTAGATGGACCCTTTTGCTCAGATCCCTACCAATGGATATCAGCATCCGAACGAAGTGCCCATTTTTGGAGAAATGCTCTTACAATACAGTATTGTCCTTTCTAATTCTTCTATGCAACTTTATTTTTGGGATCTCAAAGGTAGCTTTCGCTTTTTATTTACTTCGGTTGGAATATTTGTTGCATTCCATCAGACACAACGGGATGCTGTGATTTGTTCCCTTTGGAGCACCATGGAAGCACGTCCATAACAAGGGCAACTATCTTGCAGCAAGATGCCTTTCTTGCAAACACGCTTTCCTGTACTTGTTGCCAGATTTGCTCTTTGTACACAGTGCAGAACTAGCTGTGTTTCCACTCTGAACTTCCTAAAAAACTCACCCATCATCACTCTACTTTTCAAAGCGCCTGGTTGCAGCTGGCCTAAACGTCGGTTAATGCCTACATACATAGGTATGTTACCCTAGCCAGTTCCGCTGTGCCTGGCTGCGAAAGAAGAGCCTTTGTTCACAAATGAAAAAGTTTGACCTCGTACTTCTTCATCTTTCTGTCTCGGACCGGCCAAGAGAACCTGCGGCTCCCCGTTTGTTGAACTATAACTCCCATCAGTCCCAGCCAGCCCGGTCCGTGGTCAGGGATGATGGGACTTGTAGTCCAGCAACCTCGGGGAGCCCCCTCACATTAGCCGCCCCGAGCTTAACGCATTCCAGTGGCCACATCAATATTCATGGCGGGATATCTCGCTAGGTCTCCTCCTCGTACCTTTTCTTTACCAAGGCTTGTTTCATGGGCCCCGCTTCACGGCGAAGCACTACTTTGGGAGAAGTGAGCGCGGGAAAGAGGCAGGGTCGGCGTCCTCCTCTGAGGCGCTGAGGGCGCGCTTCTCGCCGGCGAGGGCGGTGCCGAAAGCGGACGCCGCTGCGAAGACCGGCGCGCCTCTGCCTGGCGGGGCTCCGGGGAGAGCCTGGAAGCCGCGTCCCGCCTTGTCGCCTCGCGCGGTAAGTTGGCGCGGGGCGGGAGGGTCTCCTGCCAGAGGCCTCTGCGCGCGGAGCGAGTGTCTCTCTGGTCCTGGGACTCGGGCAATTGGAGGGCTCCCCACCCCCGAGAAATGAAGCCCCTTGCCCCCTTCCTGCCCGCCGTGTGGAGCGGCACAAGCCCTGGGAGGAGCAGTGGGATTATTGGGGGGGGGGGGCGACGCTAAAAGGCAGAGGGCGCTGCCTTTGGAAAGCTGGTCCCACGGGGTCCAGTTAATCAGTTTCGTTGAATTAGTTAAACTCAATGGTTTAAAAACTGGATTTTGAATAAATGTGCGATTGTGCTTTGAATTTCACTGGGTGGCTGCCTGCCTTAGTGGGTCATGCAAGCCGCTGTTCTGCATAGCGTGGCCCGAAAAAGTTTTGGAACCAGTAATCTGGTCAGGGTACTAACTTGAATAAAATATTGGGGGGGGGACAAGTAAGCCCCGCCCTGCATAATCGATCACATGACAGGGTACACCCCCACCCCCTATTTGAATCGCACTGTCCATCAATCTGGGGCAGGGGTGCAGCCCAATTAAATATTATATTGGGGGGCTGAAGGGATCTGGCCAATAGAAGGTCTGAGAACTACAGACCACAGTCCTTTATTTCAGGGGTTAGGCAGAGCTCAGGCTTGGGGGGGTCTACTTGGTGGGTTTACTACAACTCCCAAGATTCACCAATGAGAGCCTGGTGCCAAAAATACACACTTTACATTAAAAAAAGTTGAGCCCAGGAATTTGAAGCAGAGCTGAAATGAGATCACAGTTCTTCCGCACAGAAACCTCCTCTTAGTTACCCCCAAAGGATTATTCATTGCAGTGGTATAATTTAGAGTGGGAGGGGAGTCGCTTTGTTGCTGTTCTTGTTAAACAATCGGGAGCCAGACATTCTTGCTGATCTGCTGCACATCACCCAGAGCAGGGACGCGGACTTATAAAAAATATTGGGGGGGCCCGGGAAAGCTCATGAATAATAAATAAGCTCATGAATATGCAAATAAAGTGGCGCCGCCTCCTCGTGAGCGAATAGGGGAGAGCGTGCTGCGCCTATTAATCAGCTCCAAAGGAAATTGGGTGGAGCTTTTGCTCGGGAGGGAGGGCAGGAGGCATGCAGCCCGCCCCTCCCTGTGCATTTTGGGCTGGGGAGGGGCGGCGATGGCGCTCTGCTGGAGGGGCGCCGGAGATTATGGGGGGCGGAGCCCCCCCAAACGAATTTTTGAGGGGGCTCGGCCCCCCTCAAGCCCCATGGAGTCGGCGCCTATGACCCAGAGAGTTACCATTAGGTCCAGATGATCTGCTCCTGCCCACCCCATGCCGCCTTCAACACAAGGGCTGCCTGAACAGCCAGCCTGGATAAGGCACTCAAGTTCACTGAGCTGATGTGAAATCTTCTTTTCTCTCACAGAGGGAATGATTGTCCTTCTCTTGCTGTGGGAGGGGAAGGGCTGTAGCTCCAGGCTAGAGCATGTGATTTGCCTGTAAAAGATTCCAGGTTCAGTTCTCACTATCCTAGTAGCCCTGGAGAGACTTGTGTCTGAAACGGTGGGGAGCAGAGGCAAATAGAAAAGGCAGCAGCATCTTGTATACCTAACCTACCCTCTCAGGATGTCGGGGAAAATAGTATTTCCTGTTGCAAGAATTTTGAAGTTCCATACTACAAACCTTCCAATATTTCATAGAAGAAAATCGGGACACCCTTAGGTGATTAAAATATCCCTGTTCTCAAACCAAGGATTGATGCCTGAGGATCCAACTGCCACTCTCGCCCTGCAGTGTTACACAATGCCTGATTTACATGGGCTTTGTTTATTCTGTGGTAGCCTTTATCCTTCGCTGACTTCTGAGGCAGGAAAGGGAATATAACACATTTCTAAAATCTGTTACATTCTAAAACTTTTCCCCTAAAACTTAAGAATGTTTACCAAAAAGTGTTTAGCAAAATTGGATACATGCAAGTCCCAGTCAGTTTAATGAGACTCACTGCCTAATGAATAGGTACTAGATTGTATCCCTGAGTTGTAATCCTGTACATACTTACCTGGGAGTAATTCCCCAGTGGGCTTACTTTTGAGTAAAGGTAAAGGTACCCCTGACAGTTAAGTCTAGTCGCGAACAACTCTGGTGTTGCGGCGCTCATCTTGCTTTACAGGCCAAGGGAGCCGGCGCACTTTTTGGTGTGCTTTCGAACTGCTAGGTTGGCAGGAGCGGGGACCAAACAACAGGAGGTCACCCTGTTGCAGGGCCTCAAACCTCCAACCTTCCAATCGGCAAGTTCAAGTGGCGCAGTGGTTTAAACCACAGTGCCACCCACATCCCAAGCTACTTTTGAGTAGACATATACAAGACTTCATCTCACAGTAGAACTGACTGAACTTGCATAATGGCAGCAAGTTGTTAATGTTGGTACACATTTTTATGTGGGTAGGCCATGTGTGTGTGTGTGTGTGTGTGTGTTAAGAAGGGAAGTTTTCTCCATTTAAAACAGTTGGGGTACATTTTTCAGCCCAAGGGCCACATTCCCTTTTGGACATCCTTCTGGAGGCCAGATGCCAGTGGTGGGTGTACTGCCTTTGTGCTGCAGGCCAGCTCCTTCCCATGCCTTTCTTTGTCCGTGTACATCCATGTAAGCAAGAGTCACAAGCATACATTCCAGCCAGCCAAATACAGTCAAGTAGAGTGTGAAGCAAGGCAAGTGAGGGGATTTCCTAGGCTGAAAGTGGGTGTTTGGGTAGGGGGCATGAGGTTCCACACTCTGATTTAAAAGAAGAAAACCAAATGTTCATATATATTCTGTTGGATGGCATATTGCAAGCCTCCGCCCAGCAACTACTGCAGCCACACTGGTGCCAACCGTATTGCTCTGCTTTCCTTTGGAGCAGATCTGTGAGGCTGAGAGGGTGTCTTGTTGTCTGGGCAGCCCAGGACCTCCATACATACTGCCGAGGCTTGTACCATGGGGAGGTCACTGCTAACACAGCAGTTTGATTTCACCCCTGGAGGCGCATTCCATTGACTCTCTAGCCACATGGATGCCAACAACATATCTCTAGCCAATTCTGAAACACAGCTGTGAGACATTACTGCAGCCAAACCAACAATTCATGTTTTGCTAGATAGGCACATGAAGGGGCTGCGGCTCATATCATTTCCTAGTGTTCATGCCTCCAGTAGCAACATATGGAACATCATTTCACGAGCTACTTCATAGATGAGCAGCAATTTGAAGCCTACATTAAAACCCAGCACAATGATTGTGGCACAGATTGTCCACACCATACATTTAAAGCACTTCCCCAAGGATCCTGAAAATGGTAGTTAAGTTAACCCTTCATGAAACTATAATTCCCAGTGTTCTTAACAAACTACAGTTCCCAGGAATATTTTTTGGGGGTGCTTTAAAAGTATAGAATGTACACAGCTACAGACAGAATGGGCTTACCTCAATAAGTTGGAGGGTAATTCATTGACTAAATGTATTTGAACTAGAACTGCCTTTTGTCAAAATTCTTCGATGTGAAGCATAGCTCTAAGGAGCATTCAATATTTACTTTAAGAAAACCATAACTGTACAAAGGGGGATGACGAATCAGTGAACTGCTGCGTAATTATTAAACAGCAGATTCCAGAATTACAGTCCTTGGGCAGTTTTACCGGCAGCGATGGTGGAGGCAGCACCCTGTTTGTTTAATCTGGTGCACAAACACTTTGAGGACTGGGTTGCTCAGGTAACTAACCTGTCGCTCAGGTGAACAATATGTTGGTTTGGAACAAAAGCCTTTATACAAATGCCTAATGTTGATTTAAGTGTTCGGCTAGTCCGACCTAATTAGATGTGGCAATATTGTGTTCTCTGCAATGTATAAATTTGTTTACCTTCTTTTCTTTCACAGTACTTCCCTCACAGTAATGCGATATGGCAACCTGCTTGCACCTTTACAAGAAGAGTACACTTCCTCCACTTCTGGATAGGTACCTCCCAGTTAATTCTAGGAATCAGGTAATCTTTTAAAAGGTGCCAGTGGCCTTGAATGCTTTCAGTGTAGTCATTTTATGTGAACTCTGGAATAAGTTTGTGTCCTTCCTCTCCTCTTTTTAAGAAAGTCCCATGATATAACTAGGATGTGTTTGTCACATGCTCAACTGATGTTCCTCTTCTCCATTACAAATCTTAATTGTTTTTCAGCCCAAATTCACTATGTACAGAAGTTACAAGGCAAACAAGGAAAAACAAAAGCACTACTGAAATGATTTCTCTGATTGGTGGCTTGCTGTAAATAGATACAAATGTAAAACAGATAAGACAGGCCAGGCTGAGGAGAATCCCAGTTACACAAAAAGGGAATCCTCTCATATCCTCCATCAAGATCTAGGTCTAGGATAGCTTACGGTTGCCTTTGGACTTGTTGACCATTGAGGCATATTCCCTTTCCTTCCGGTAGTGATAAAGCGGAATATCAAATCCAAACTCTTCTTCCTCTTCTTTGCATGACTCTGTATCAAAGAGGACTAATTTATGCAGAATTTGGGGAGCTTTGGTCATAGCGAACGTGGCCATGAGGCCAAAAAAAGTTTGGCCACCTTGATCTAGTCTGATTAAGAGTTCTGGAGACCACGAAAGCATGCACCCTATTTTGTGATATTTTTGGTTGGTCTGATAAAGGTATTGCCCTAACATGGATTTTGGAGCAGGGGGGAGAATTAATTTATAGCAGCGCTGATAACTCTCCTAATGACCCTGTATTAATGAATTACCTTTATTACCATGAAGGTACACGATGCTATTTCAGTGTCTGGGGTGTTGTCAAAGGCACAGATCTGTATGTAAAAACTTTTTTTAAAAAAAGTCCTTTTTCTACTCTAAAACATCACTTTTAGAGCCAGAAACACCTTCAAAGCAAGAGGCAAAAAGGATCTGTTACAAGTGCAAAGAGGATGAAAGTGGCATACGTCATACATAATATTGCCATAGTAACGAGGCGATAAATATAGCCATTCACTGCAAAGTGTGGAGGAAGGATGCAAACAGGCCCCATTTATTAACTCTGAAGTTAAATGTAGTTGAGGCACCCCTCCTAAGTATTGCAGAAGCAGCGGTGACTTGTAAATCCAGTACACCCAGGTTTAAAAAGTGCATCCTTACATGATCATTGATAGCTGGAGTGGCCCAGTAGACTGGCAGGTCTTTATCTTCCCCACCCACTATGGACAACTTTGGCAGGTGGGCAGGACCACCTGCATGTCAATCATCTGGCATCATAATGTCATCAGATGATTGACACCTTTCAGAAGTTCAAAGGAAATTACTATAGAGCAACCTCCTTTGAAGACTGACTCCTGGTGTGCCTGGCTCCCTTTAGCTGAGAGCTAATGGTCGGTTAGAGGCAACCCCTTTGAAATGGTCTTTGGAGCTTAATTTGGCCAACAGACTGGAGGCTCACCATGTCTGAGCTTGGGGCAGGGGCAGGGGGGAAATCAGACTTATAAACTACAAATAAGCCCCTTGTTACAGCTTTAAGTTCAAGTGGGTGTTTTTTCTGAAAAGTGGAAGAATGCTGGAATAATGATATAATCATATGGCACACATCTCTGATCCCAGTAGGGTGATGTTATCTTAGGAGCCTACTCAGAAATGCACCCCATTCACTGGAACCGAGATATTCAAATAGTTGTGAAATGTGCTGGTAAGGGGTGCTATTTTTATCCTTTAAGGCACAGTGTCCTGGTTTTGCCTTGAAAAGAGCTGGAAGTTAAAGAGTTGCACGTACAATCCCTAGAACGAATCAGTCTTTCCTCTATCTGTCTATGGTGTCTCTTGGGGCCCAACCACATAACTAGATCCATAACTAGTTCTCCTATATTAAAAGCAGTTAAAAGCAGCTGGACACTGGAGTAGAGCCCTTTCCACTGCACTGTTTTCCTAAATCAAATCCCTCAACCCCACTTTTATTTGCCCTGCTGTGGAAGAAACACACGTACCGTTTAAATGTTTACCTTTTGCTCTATACGAAAAAGCAGCTTTTGGAATTAAGCAGTAGATTTGTGACATGGCTGAAAGGCCACAGCTGGTACCTTGACTTTTGTGTCAGAGTCTGTCAGCACTTAATGCTGCCCATCAGTAGAAGTCATAGAATTGTAGAGTTGGAAGGGACCAGAAGCGTCATGCAATGCAGGAGACCCCCTGCAATGCAGGAATCTTTTGCCCAACACAGGGATGGAACCCATGACCTTGATATTAAGAGTCTCATGCTCTACAGTGCTATATGCATAACACCATTGAATAAACCGCAATCATTGAATTCTGTATTGGCCTAAAGATATGATACAGAGATGCTGTGTATAGTGTGATGAGATGATGAAGCATATGATTCTATTTTAGCTGGGAGCATGAAAAATACTTTTTGAGTTGCAGCAGCTATAGCTTGTCTTTTAGAGTCAGGCTCCTTGACTGCAGAACATCCCTGGGTTTGGCTTATCAACGTGTTCCCTTCATTTTTCTCCTCTCAGTCCAATGTACTGAAGTGCAGACCTTTCATAACTGCAACTCAGTTTTTCTACCATTGTGGGAAGATTGAACTTCCTGGCTACTTAAAAATTTCCTCCACCACCCTTTCGACTTTGTTGCCTCTGCAGGGCTGCTCCATCCCTCTGGCCCCTTTTGTAAACTCTGAGGCTTTACACAAGTAGACCTTTCTGGGAATGGCCAGGATTATGCATGTTTGCAGTGTGTCCTTGGTAGCAAAGAATGACACACAATGTGAGGAGAGTTCTTGCCAATCTGAGCAATGTGCTTATTAAGCAGTATGTTGGTTCTCATCCAGAGACAAAGGTTCCTTCTATAAACAGAGAGGGGAAATCATTTTAAGAACTTTTTAAGTTTGGAAAGGTGTCTTATATACAAGTTACTCTTTATAAGTAATTTTGTTTTACTTACGTCCTTTGAGCTTCATTTCTTATTTCTCATTGTGTTTTCTCATATTGTTTTCTAACTTATTTGCAATGCATTATTCAGGAGAATGAATATGCTCAAGTTTCTGATACTGACAATAAATTTTTGCCGTACACGTGCTTTCTTTAAAAAGAAAAAGGAATTGATTTTCTTATTTAAATGTGTTACCCCAAATTCTTAAGTCATATGTTCCTCTTTCATTTATTCTATCTGGGAGCCAGTAGGTGTAAATGATGCTCTTATTCCATTTTTTAAAAATGTAGTGTTGATCACATATTTTAGAGAAAGTTCATTTCTGCTCCTCTTTAAAGAAAGCTCAGTTTTGCCAGGGTAACACACACCACCAGATTCAGATTTGTCACGCAACTAAAAATTTTTTTTCCTCAGAACACTGAATTTGTAGACAAGTTTGGTCAACTTCTGTCTACCTCAGATATGCACTTGAAACATGATATAGGCTATTAAAGATATAGCTTCACCCATTCTGCATTGCAGGTGACCACAGTTAATCCTGCACAGCACCACGTAGGGGTGATTTAGGGTCATGTATGTGATGTGCAATGGGACGCAGGTGGCGCTGTGGTCTAAACCACAGAGCCTAGGGCATGCCTATCAGAAGGTCGGTGGTTTGAATCCCCACGACGGGGTGAGCTCCCGTTGCTCTGTCCCAGCTCCTGCCAACCTAGCAGTCCGAAAGCACGTCAAAGTGCAAGTAGATAACTAGGTACTGCTACGGCGGGAAGGTAAATGGTGTTTCCGTGTGCTGCTCTGGTTTCACCAGAAGCGGCTTAGTCATGCTGGCCACATAACCCGGAAAAACTGTCTGTGGACAAACGCTGGCTCCCTCGGCCAGTAAAGTGAGATGAGCGCTGCAACCCCAGAGTCGTTTGCTACTGAACTTAACTGTCACGGGTCCTTTACCTTTACCTTTATGTGATGTGCAGATTCCAGGAGAACACCAGGTTTATTTATCCTCGAAGCCAGTGGCATTTCTCACACTTATTTACTGAATTTAGCTTGTAACAGTTAATTTGTGCTTTGCTAACAAATGCATTTTATATCCCTTTTAAATGGCATCTAATTACTTAATTAGTGGTTGGGTTTTCTTGGAGTTGAATTTCCGATCCTACGTCTTTTGACGGTATTCTGTTTCAGACCGTTTAAAAACACAGACCAGTGGAACGGAACAGGTTTGCCACTTTTTCCTTTGCCTTCAACATCTGCATGGCCAGCAGAAATTAAATTGTTGTGGCTTCTCCTGGTGCAGAGATGGAGTAATGGGAAACTCCAGTAAGACCCTTGTCACTGAATGCAGCTTTGCAAAAAATATCTTGGACCCTTTCTTGTGTGTGTAGGTAACCTCAGCATAAGGCAGCACATAAGTAGTGACCTGTGGCAGCTCTGCTGGTCCATTTTTAGAGTTTTGGTGTACATCAACTTTATGGAGTTGTAAAAAACAACAACACAGTGTTTTCCAAACAGAAAGTGCATCCCCAGGTCAATAGTACAATTTCAGGCCTGCATGTTGTTGTTGTTTAGTCGTTTAGTCATGTCCGACTCTTCGTGAGCACTCCAGGCACTTCTGTCTTTCACTGCCTCCCGCAGTTTGGTCAAACTCATGCTGGTAGCTTCGAGAACACCGTACAACCATCTCGTCCTCTGTCATCCCCTTCTCCTTGTGCCCTCCATCTTCCCAGCATCAGGGTCTTTTCCAGGGAGTCTTCTCTTCTCATGAGGTGGCCAAAGTATTGGAGCCTCAGCTTCAGGATCTGTCCTTCCAGTGAGCACTCAGGGCTGATTTCCTTAAAGAATGGATAGGTTTGTTCTTCTTGCAGTTCATGGGACTCTCAAGAGTCTCCTCCAGCACCATAATTCAAAAGCATCAATTATTCGGCGATCAGCCTTCTTTATGGTCCAGCTCTCATTTCCATACATCACTAATAATCCAGTGCTATCTACTTCTTGCATGGTTTCAAAATGTTATGTCCAGCATCCTATTCTCAAGTGGCCAACCAGAACCCCACAGGCAGCATCTGAGCACAGCAGCCCTCTCTCTCCCTGTGGTTTCCAGCAACTGGTCTTCAGAAGCATATTGCCTCAGGCTAAACTGCAACAAGCAAATACAAAAGGCTTGTAAAAACCAATAAGTAAACTTACCTAGGCCTCTGGTTACAGTCCTGGCACAAAGGAGGGCTATTAGAGCATGCTTTCCCTTCACTGGACTGTGATGCTGAATTTCCAGTGTTTAAGATTCACCCCCAAGCATCCTGGAGACCCACACAGCCTCCCTTACATATAAGAGAGACCTCAAGCCATGTTTTTATTTTTTTAAATCTGCGTTGCACTTGAAAATATGCTTGCAATGTCTTATGGGGTGGGAGGAAATTTGAGCTACCTTTCAGGTGTACATAACATGCTTGTATCATCTGATGCCATGCAAGAGAAAGTGAATATGGTGTTAGGGCGAGAGGCAAATTTAAATGCAATTGCTTGATTTCAATTTTTGTGTACTTTGTTTTTGTCTAGAATGGTCCGAACCTGCAAATGATAGAAACAGACAGTAAAAGGAGGCCAAGAAACAACAAACATGTTTTAAGTGATGAAGATAAAGATGAGCTCATCCAGCGGTCTCTGCAAGAAAAGGTAACAGTCCACCATGATAAATGATGTGTTTGATGATTTCTCTACTTGTGAAGGTGCAGCTTAAAATGTGTCCAGAGAAGCTGTTACTACAGGTAGCCCATTTTCTGTATCTTGAATGTGGGATGGAGCCAGTTTCTAAGCTCTGTTTGCTAGCTAGGCATGGACCCCTACGTCAAGGCTGATGGGGAAGGACAGAGACTTTTCTACTGTTCTGTGTTGTTATGGCAAACAGGAGCATTTGACTAATATGCAGCCAGCCCATTCAGTATGCAGGTTCTTCAGATGTGGATAGAACACTTCAATCATGCTGAGAGATCCTAGTCATATGGGAGGAGCTTGTATTGATTCAGTTTATACTATGCCATTGTTGCCATTCCAATTTTCTTTTGCAAGAAACTAAAAAGGAATATAATTTTTATTTGCTGACTGAGTCTTTAAATTGGGTGGGTGGAGAGGGGAACCTGGTGTCTTCCATAACTTGTTGAACTAAAACTCCCAGGATGCACTCCCAAGCCAGTGGCTAGAAATTATGTGGTGAGTGGCCCTAGCTAAACTGGCATTATTGTTCAAACAACAAAACAACCAAAACCCCTGAAGAAGTGTAGAATCCTAAATAGTTGTGATCAAAAGTGTCCTTCTGGACATTCTCCAAGTCCGTGAGCCGCAAGCAGTTCCTGTTAAGCACTGCTGTGTGAGTGTTTAAATGACCCAACCAAGCAGACAGAGTAAATTACATACTCCCTCTCACCCCTCCTGAAGAAGCAGCCCTCCCAGTGCTCATTCCATGAGACGGAGACATGTGATCAGACCCTGTTCGTGTTGGGTCATTTTGCATGTTCTCCCAGAAGTGTTGAGCTGGTCAAAAATAGGCAGCTCCCACACTCCTGGAAAAACGATCAAAGAGGGGCATGTAAAAGTAAAAATTGCAGTTTTCCCAAGAACTCACAAATTGTTTTCAAATCATTAAAATCAATGCCTGCCTGTCAATTGGAGTAAAACTGTTCTAACTTCCATAGTTGTAACTTCTCAGTTGCTCACTGTGCATTAAAGAGAAGTTAAGTGAGAGATTTCTGCGTCTTGGTGTTCAGTGGTCCAAAAACTGCTGGAAGGTGAGACAAGTATGTTTTCTGAATAGTTGGGTAGAACTATTTTGCTTCTCCCTCGATAAGGGTTATAGGAAGGAAGTTGATTCAGGGAAGAGATCTGGAATACTCCTCAGAAATACTTTCTTGTGTTGAATTGCTAAATGATTTCATGGTTGGTTGTTTGTTCATTCATACGTTCAATTCATAACCCATCCTTCCACCAAGGAACTGGTTCTCCCTTTCCCCATTTTATTCTCAAGCACAACTGTAAATGCTTCTCCCTTTCCCCATTTTATTCTCTTTTTTTAAAAAAATATTTTTATTGAGTTTCTTTTCTTAAAGTCATAGACACAAAATTAGGGTAAGAAAATACAAGAAACAAATACAAAACCGAAATAATAAAAAGGTCATTACATTCCAATTTTCAGTAGTTTTTTCAATATTCCAAATGGACTTCCCCACATCCTCCCGACTCTGCGTTCTTTGTAATAAAAGTTTCAGCAATTTGTTACCCTGTTTCTTAACTTACTGTATCTTTCAGTTATTATATTTCTAAGTTCACAATATTATATCCCAACTTTGTACATTTAAAATTAACATAATAAAATTGTTTCATATTACCACCTCTTTTTTCTTGTCTTAATTTTCAGTTTACCTAATCAAGTTGCTAAAGCAAAAAATTTCCTAATCGTGCGTATTTCTTAACATTCATACAACTTATAGTGTTTTTGCAAATAGTCCTTAATTTTTTTCCAGTCCTCTTCCATTGTTTCCTCGCCCAAATCTCGGATTCTGCCAGTCATCTCAGCCAGTTCCATGTAGTCCATCAACTGCGTCTGCCACTCCTCCAGCGTGGGTAAATCTTGAGTCTTCCAGTGCTTTGCAATAAGAATTCTTGCTGCTGTAGTAGCATACATGAACAAAGTTCTATCCTTCTTTAACACCTTCTGGTCCACCATGCCCAATAGGAAGGCCTCTGGTTTCTTGGAAAAGGTATACCTAAATACCTTTTTTAACTCGTTGTAAATCATTTCCCAGAAGGCCTTCACTTTTGGGCAGGTCCACCAAAGATGGAAGAATGTCCCTTCTGCCTCCTTACATTTCCAACATTTATTATCAGACAAGTGATATATCTTAGCTAACTTGACTGGGGTCATGTACCACCGGTATATCATTTTCATAATGTTTTCTTTCAAGGCATTACATGCCGTAAACTTTATACCGGTGTTCCATAACCTTTCCCAGTCTTCAAACATAATGTTGTGTCCAATATCCTGTGCCCATTTTATCATGGCAGATTTAACTGTCTCATCCTGTGTATTCCATTTAAGCAGCAAGTTATACATTTTCGAAAGTGTCTTAGTTTTTGATTCTAACAATTCCGTCTCTAATTTCGATTTTTCCACCTGGAAACCAACTTTTTTGTCCATTTTAAAAACCTCTTGGATTTGAGCATAATGTAGCCAATCCCGCACCTTATTTTTTAGTTTGTCTTGGCTCTGCAACCTCCATTTGTCTCCAACTTTTTCAATTATTTCCCAATATTTTGGCCAATAGGCCTCCATGTTGGGTCTTTTCCTAGCCTTGGCCTCCATCGGTGAAAGCCATCTCGGGGTTCCCCATTTTATTCTCAAGCACAACTGTAAAGCTGAGAGACCATGACTGGCCCAACATCACCTAGTGAACTACAGAAACCTGCTGTTATAGGAACTGTGGTGTCTTCCAGAATAATTCAGAAAAAGTATGATTTTATCTCACAAATAGGCAAAGGAATAAAGCTACACATTGAATGAAATTTGGATTTTTGCATCTAAGCACTCAATAGCACCATCTGTTGGAGGCTCACCATAAGTACCTAGCATTTATTATTTCCACTAAGAAGTACAAAGTTGTTACGGCAGAAGTGCTGTTTCAATGGTTAAGGTTGGAATTTAGGGTTGTTAATGTAATATAGAGGCTATAATTTATTGACGCTATGAAAAGACGATGGATCAAAAGAAAAAAGAAGAAACATTTACAAAACACCTTTAAAAACAATGACTCTGACATTGTGCAGTATTGAAGGAATGTCAGTTTTAAGGAGAAGTAATATGCCAGTAATAAATCTTAGCCTGTGTTTCTTTTGCAACATGCATTCTGTCATCTAGACTTGTATGGAGCAACAAGAGTTATAATAGCAATTTATCACAAGAAAAATGGTGCGACTATTGAAAGGGGTTTTAAAGAAGCCACACGGCTTCTAGTACAAATGCTGTAATGTTTCACAGAATATCCTCTTCGACATGGAACTACACTTTGGTGGGTGTAAGGATGTATGGCACAAGAAAGAAATGCGTATTTGGGAATGCATGGATTAAGGGCAGCATAAAGAGGATTTATTGCCATATACTAGAGTAAAGGTGTCACATTGATGTAAAACGAATTTACTCATCCCGATTAAAGTGCAATAGAAAGACATGACGGTAGGTGGCAGTGAAGAATTGCACTAGAGGAGTGCCCTGTTTGGAGGGGGAATAATATTTTCTTAGCAGTAGCAGGTTATAGTTTGAGTGCTTGCAAAATGTGATACCTTCCAAGCTGAAGCACTTTCTAGAGGGAAATGACCTGGATCACGCACGGAACTGGTTTGTTGCAGTCTAAATTGATTGCATGAAAAGTGCTTGTTAGCTGCATCTACCACCCTGGGAATTCTGTGTAAAGGATTTCAAAGCACCTCGTTTGGCAATGCAGAAAACTGCCAAGTGGATCTCCTCTTGCAAATTCCCTATCATGATTTTCCTGCAAATTAAACACCTCTGGCTTTTTCCATGAGAATCTAAAAATATAATGCTGAAAATCTCTTTCATTTCAGCGTTATCTTGAAACCTATGAGAACATGTATAAGCTGAAAAATTTATTGAGTAAACGCTACAGGACGTTGTTGAATGAGAAAGTTAGAAAGCAACGAATTCAGATCAAGATGTCTGATCTCAGAGGCCAACAACTTCTTAAACACAAAACAAAAAAGGTAGGAGATGATATTCTGTAGAAGGAAAAGGAGAAGTTGCCTGGTTGACATTTGCCCAATTGAGAATTTGCATTGACTTTGAGATCTTATAAATCATGGCCACAGAGAAGAGAAAGCTCTTAGAGTCCCCCCCTACCATGTGTTTTGTTGATTTTGTGCAGAGTTATACAATAAAGTCAACATTACTTTTTAGAGTTGTCTAAGCTTTTCATAAGCGTTCTGTCTGGTCCTGTGCAAAAACGTTTTTGCACGCAGTTCTAGTAAACACTGCAAGCTAGCATATCAGCAGAAGGATTCTTGCTTCAGTCTTTACAAAATGGCAGAATATGTATGTTTCATCATCAAACTACTTCGCTGAAATATGCCTTTATTGCAAACAGCAAATTTGCTGCAGAATGGAAGGTTTTCACTTTGATTAGAAGCACATAATTAATGTCAACACACTCCTTTTTTGATGCACTAAGGTGTCTTAGGTAACTGCAAAAATTGGGCAACCATACGCTTCCCACGAAGTTCACAAAACCTCCTGGTGCACACAGGGCCTTAAAGGTAGCTCATTGGAGACCATTGTTCACATTCCAGAGTCGAAATCCCCATCCCTCCATGCACATGGGAGAAATTGACCGAGGACCCTAAAATCTGCTGAAGGTTTTACTTCTTTTTGATCTTGAAAGCCTTTGGGGTGCCAGCAGTCCTCATTTTAGCCTTGTGAATTTGTTTATTAGACAAACTACTTCCTTCCATACTTTGTCTGTTCTATGGTGCCCTGTATTTGAATGAATATTGTTGTTTCACTCTCAGGCAAGAAGGAAGCAGGCTATCAGCAGTTACTGCAACTGCTTTTGAAATGCTTTAATATGCAGCCAAACTGAATGTTTGGCTACCATGCAGCAAACCAGCAGGCAGCCCAGCTCCAACTCCCATTAACTCTACTGGCATGACTAGTGGTCAGGAATTATGGCAGTTGTAGTCTAGGAGAGCAACAGGTTCCCCATCTTTGCTATATAGTGCTTCCAGTTTGGTCCCTTAGTGAACTTGCAAAAGGGGGGGGGGCTGGAATTATGCTAACTCAGAGTTTTGTAAACTGTTCTGCTTTGTTTATTCTGCCATCTGTGCTGACCCACTGGCTTCCTCGGTCTGATGTGCAGAGTACATGGGAATCATTATGTGGTCTTTGGAGTACCAGGTGGCATAAAGGTAGCATGATTGGAATGGTACCTCCAGGCCCTGCCAGAAGGAGGATGCTGTGCTGATAAGCCAAAAAAAAAAAAAAAAGTACGGTAATCGCAGTGCTTAATGTTCAAAGGAGGACATGGATTCTAGGAACATAAAGGCCAAGCACAAGAACCCGCCATGCAGTTCTTCTATTGAAACTTAACCCTTTTGCCACATATTCACATACAGTACAGTTGTATTATTTTTAGCACCATTAATTACCATTATTAAATATTTAATTGTTATTTATTATTAATTTCATCTATGACTCACTTCCCATGAGTGTAACATAGATAAAACAGTTACAAATATAAAAACAGTGAAAACAATTGGACATGTAAAAACAATTATAAACAAAAAAATCAGTTTAAAATAACAAAAGCACATACATGCCTAATATAAATTCAAATCCAAAACAGATTGGTTATACACATATAGGCTCTGTTCAGAACTCTAAATTGCGGGTGGAGATCATGTGGACCTCCAGAAGTTGCTCAACTCCAATTCCCATCATCCCTGACTCTTGGCTATGTTGGCAAGGATGGATTGTAGTCCAGCAACACCTGCAGTTTCCCAGGTTCCGCATTCCTGCTCTAAAGAAATTCACGTAGGGTAGAGATGGAGTTTGTTGCTGTGATCCCACTGCCACCTTCCCCGTAGGCACCCTGTACAGCTTGAATGTCTGGGAAAAGGTTTATGTTGCAAAATGAGCTGGTACTTGAATACATATGGATTACTTGCAGAAGGCCAAACATAGAATATGTACTTGTTGTTTTCACACTATAGTCACAAGCAAAGAACTTGTGCTTTCTGACGCACAACTCAGAGAGGCATTTGTGGAGGGGATGTGTGTTTCTGCTAGCACCAAGCAGTGCAAATAGAACTGTACAAATAGCTTGTGCATCATGTTGCAGAAATGGCAGTACCCCACAAGATAGTAATTCATATGCTTGTTTTATTTGAGATGCTTGCACATTTTTTATTGTGTTCTAAGGCAAATTGCTGCATTTCTAAAGACTCCTCTGCAGTTTACAGGATTGAGCTTCAAAAAAACCCCAAACATATATCTAATATGATATTCAGGTCATTAAGAGTAAATGTCAATTTTTAAATGATGGTGTTTTCTGGTATGTTCAAGGTTTTTAAAGCATTTTATTTATTTTTAAGTAAGTTTTTAATTGTGAAGCCTGAGAATCCAAAAATAAAACAAATGAAACTGGCAAACTGAAAACACATTGCGTACATTGACTAGTTTGGAAGGAATTAAGCACACACAGAGAAATTGCTTTTTGTTGTTTAACTTTGTATAATATAAAATGTAAATAGTGTCATTTAATGGCTGCAATCTTAGATGGACTTCCTTGGTGTTGAGAATGCCTATTAAGTATAAATTCAAAATGAATTTCTTCAGCAATGCACATTTGGACCTTCCATATACATTGTGGGACTTTGATTTTACTTTTAAAAAAGAAAATAATATTGTATTTTAAAAGGCTAAAAAGACACTTTCTTCTATTTCTGTTTTCTACTGCCAAGTCAATACATTTCTATTTTTGTGACAACATAAATGGTTATAAAATTAACTTTAGAAAAAACTGTTCCTGTCTGTGCACATTTCTGAAATATTTAAGAACTGAAGCAGGTCAAGCAGAATTGTTCGTCAGGTTTTCACCAAGTATTTAAACAGCCATCACAAACATAGTTGCATGTTTAAAAAATGAGAATTATTATTCACACCAACTATGCACAGTTTTTGTCCAATTAATCATAATAACACAGGGAAGAAATACATTATATATTCTAAAATAATCTGGAACTGCTATGTTGAAAAGGCAAGTCGGTTTTAAGAGGCTAGTTTAGTTACTAAGCAGACCTGTATAAAAATAAAGAGTTACTTCTTTCATTTGACTCCTCATATGACTCTGAGGAACAGAGCCTGAGCTTTTTACTGCAAGGTGGGAGGAAGACGCCTTCTGTCTTGAGAAGGCTAATATATCAGGCTGTCTCTACAAACTGATGTTAAAACAGAGACTGTAGGCTTATTAGCATCCTATTAATATGTGCATAAAATGTAGTATGTGTCTCAGCCCAAATACACAGATTGGGAAATCAAAGAGAAATCCTTCACACCTTTTGCTGGCTTCATCCTGAACTTTTATTTATCTTAAAACAACTTCCTTAAGAGAATTTCCTCTTCTAAAGGAAACACTTATCCATATTTAACAGGCAAATTCTGAATTGAACTATCTTTATAGTTGTGTGATCACCAAGAGACCAGAAACTCCTTTAATTGTTATTTTTAATGTTGACATGAATGGAAAAGTCATTTTGAATGACAGTTTGGACTTTGCTTTCATCTGAAAGGAGAATAATAATTTTAATAACAACTTCAGTAATTGCCCTTTAAAAAAGCTTGTCTTTCTTTAGAAAACATCAGAAATAAAGTATATACCATTTCTGAACAAGATTTCTCTTTAAGAAATAAAACTTCGATAACTTCAGGCAGTGAGAGAAGAAGTCCTGCTGGAGGCAGGGCTTGGCCAACAGAAAAGAACCGTTCTAATTTAATTTGAATCTGTTTATGACGCAGTGGGTTGTATCAAACAAATTTCTACTCAATGTAGACAGACTGAATAGATCTATGCTGGACATGCCCATAAGCCCTAATGGGTCTACTCTCAGTATGACTAACTTTGGATACAACCCATTAGTATGTTGTGTCAAGCTTTGCAAATTTCCTTTTGTTTTGAAATTGCCTAGTATTACTATTTATAGTAAACGGTGACAACCAGAACACTTAGTTCATACAACTGCATTTTGTACAGATTTCACTCAATGCATTTTTTTATATAGACAAGTTCATGTTAAGAGTGTTAAAGTAAACTTTGCAATAACACTGACCCCTGCGGTGGGGAAACAAAAAGCACCATATAGCTACAAACATGTACAGTGGTACCTCGTGTTACATATGCTTCAGGTTACATACGCTTCAGGTTACAGATTCCACTAACCCAGAAATAGGGCTTCAGGTTAAGAACTTTGCTTCAGGATGAGAACAGAAATTCTCGCAGTGGCAGCAGCAGCAGCAATGGAGGCCCCATTAGCTAAAGTGGTGCTTCAGGTTAAGAACAGTTTCAGGTTAAGAACGGACCTCCGGAACGAATTAAGTACTTAACCCGAGGTACCACTGTATTGTGTTTTTGTGTGTGGAACTTGAGTTGAGGCTAGCACTTCAAAACAGTATCTATCTCTGTATTGAATTTTCCCTTCTCCCATGGGTGGGGGCAGGGGGGCAGCTGCCCCACCCCATTCAAGTAGATCAATAAAAATACAGTCGTACCTTGGATCCCCAGTTCCTTGCGACTCAAATGTTTTGGCTCCCGAATGCCGCAAACCCGGAAATGAGTGTTTCGGTTTGCGAACCTTCTTTGGAAGCCAAATGTCCGACGCAGCTTCGATTGAGTGCAGGAAGCTCCTGCAGCCTTGGTTTTTGAACGTTTTCAGAAGTCGATTGGACTTCCGGAACGGATTCTGTTCGAGAACCAAGGTACGACTGCACAGTGGTACCTCGGGTTACATACGCTTCAGGTTACATGCGCTTCAGGTTACAGACTCCGCTAACCCAGAAATAGTGCTTCAGGTTAAGAACATTGCTTCAGGATGAGAACAGAAATTGTGCTCCAGTGGCGCGGCAGCAACAGGAGGCCCCTTTAGCTAAAGTGGTGCTTCAGGTTAAGAACAGTTTCAGGTTAAGAACGGACCTCCGGAACGAATTAAGTACTTAA